TGAATCGATGTCTCGTTCACTCTTGGCATACAGCTTGATGTCATCCATGTACAGGAGGTGGCTGACAACTGCTCCGTTCCGTAGTCGGTATCCGTAGCCAGTCTTGTTAATGATCTCACTGAGGGGGTTCAGGCCTATGCAGAACAGCAGTGGGGACAGAGCATCTCCTTGGTAGATCCCGCACTTGATGGTGACTTGTGCTATGGGCTTGGAGTTGGCCTCTAGTGTTGTACGCCACATCCCCATTGAGTTCCTGATGAAGGCTCTTAGGGTCCCATTGATCTTGTACAATTCTAGGCATTCCAGTATCCAGCTGTGGGGCATTGAGTCATAGGCCTTCTTGTAATCAATCCAGGCAGTGCACAGGTTGGTCAGTCTGGTCTTGCAGTCTCGGCTGACTTTACATATCTATATATATATATATATATATATGTCAAAGTATTATATATAATACATATATATATTATAGTATAATCATGGCAGCACAAGAACAAGCTCTGAGCTACAAGATCCATAGAGGCTGGGGTCTATCACACCAGGCAAGACCCCAGGTGCAGGCTGTGTAAAGATGCCCCAGAGACAATCCAGCACATAACAGCAGGGTGCAAGATGCTAGCAGGCAAGGCATACATGGAACGCCATAACCAAGTGGCCGGCATAGTGTACAGGAACATCTGTGCCGAGTATAACCTGGAAGTCCCGAGGTCAAAATGGGAGATGCCCCCAAGGGTGGTGGAGAATGACCGAGCTAAGATCCTGTGGGACTTCCAGATACAGACGGACAAAATGGTGGTGGCTAACCAACCGGACATAGTGGTGGTAGACAAACAGAAGAAGACGGCCGTAGTGATCGATGTAGCGGTTCCGAATGACAGCAATATCAGGAAGAAGGAACACGAGAAGCTGGAGAAATACCAAGGGCTCAGAGAAGAGCTCGAGAGGATGTGGAGGGTGAAGGTAACGGTGGTCCCCGTGGTAATTGGAGCACTAGGTGCGGTGACTCCCAAGCTAGGCGAGTGGCTCCAGCAGATCCCGGGAACAACATCGGAGATCTCTGTCCAGAAGAGCGCAGTCCTGGGAACAGCTAAGATACTGCGCAGGACCCTCAAGCTCCCAGGCCTCTGGTAGAGGACCCGAGCTTGGGTGTTGTTTATATATATATATATAAAACCCAACCCCATCATATAAATTATATATAATATATATATATATAAATTAAATATATTTATAATTATATAATATAACATCTTAACTCAACTATATAGATAGATAGATAGATAGATAGATAGATAGATAGATAGATAGATAGATAGATAGATAGATAGATAGATAGATAGATAGATAGATAGATAGATAGATAGATAGATCTTTGTCCTGCTTATCTGAGTCTGGTTCACAGGCCCAGCAGTTTAAACAGAGAATCCCAGGCCTCCCTCTCCCAAGGCTACCTACTTCAGCTCATCTGGGTGCGATCCTGAGGCATTCCAAAGGTAACCGAGAGATATAATCTCACTTAGAAGGCACCTGGGAGACATTCTGGAGGAGGAGTAGACCTCCACTGTTAACCCGTTCAGAATGACCGAGCTCCTTATCCTATCACTAGAACTGAGCCCAGACGCCCTTCGGAGGTCGTTCATTTCTGGAACCTCAGTCCTATAGTCACAGCTTGTGGCTGTAGCTGAATCGCCACCTTGGGGAGGTTTTTTACCCTAGTGACCCCAGGAGCTGTGTCGCTTGGGGCAATTTGCTCCTGATAGGCTCTCCCAAGGCAGATTGTTCCTGGGTGAGGGAAGAAGACAAATTCAGTGAACCCCCATGTAAAGAAAGCAAATAAAGTGAGCAAGTTACCTTGTTCATGAGAGGACCACAAGAGCCCCACCCCAGAGCCATGCCTAGGAAATGTGGACTATCATAAATAATTTTGAAGTTGCTGTATCTATCTACAGAAATCGATAGAAATAAGAAAATCAGATTTTTGTAAAACCTTCATATTATTTTATTCTCTCTGATCTGTGAATATAATAAATTATTTACAAAAAGGTGTTTAACTGACGTCAGATGGTAAGCCTCGAGATGTGATGCTCTGCTTTATTTAAATAAGGGTAAATTCTTCACCAGCATTTGCTCAAATAAACAGCAACAATAGGGAACATATTTGTGGTGGCTTCATACAGCTGTTGTTTTATTTAAGAAGACATTGCCTGGCCACATCTGTGAGGATAAATACAAAACTAATTAAGAGTGAAGACAATCATTTTGATAACAGAACTAGGAAATTCTCTTACCCAGGTTAGCAACATTTTTTCTTGCTTTATTTTGTGTTTTCTTTGTTTTATTGTTGGAAATAGATATTTTAGGATATCATAACTCTAGGAGGGGAGTGATTTGAAGTTTATACTGCTGAAATCCAGCAGGGTCTGTTTCTGCAGCTGCCACACACATTTATTTTCATGTGCTGATCACTGTCTCCTCTGTGCTCACAAAGCAAAGTGGATCACTGATGAATAATGCATACGTGCGTTCTGAATCGTTGCATTACATCATGCATGGATGGGATGATTTGCGTCTGCACTCCCAACATAAGTGATGCAGTATCATTTTATTTCCTGGGAACATTTATGTCAAACAGGTGCTGCAGGTTGAAGTAATCGCACTGCTGCAAGTATTTCATTAAAGAGAAAAAGCAGGCATCTGGAGTGAACGATGCAATACCTGCTAGGAATGACACAATCATCCATCCATGCTTCCGCTTATCCTTTTCAGGGTCGCGGGGGGTTCTGGAGCATATCCCAGCTGTCATAGGGCGAGAGGCAGGGTACACCCTGGACAGCTTCCCCTTTCTATGAGGGTTAAATGACTGGGCCTACTAATTATGATATATACCGCCAGCCGTAAGGTTAAAAAGTTATAAGCGTGTTTTTGTTATGCTACAGCGTGTCAGTACAGCATATAAGCTGTGCTGTTCCTCTGTTGGTCACACTAGAGTTGCTTATCTTATCTTAAAATTCATTCACACTGTTCTATTTTCCGCTTCTGCTTTTCCCTTTAGTGATACAAAAAGATATGACTTACTGTTTCTTCTTTTTACGATTTTGCTCAAGGTAACAGAGCATTTGACATCTTTTCACAATGAAACTCTTTTCTCCTATTTCCTGGCTATACGGTGTATATACAGGAGCTGCCAGAATATGACAGATATGCAATGACCTGTGCGGTGACCCCCATACGCGCAATATGCCTTACAACATCTAGTTGCGGGATGTACGATGTGAGCGAATGTGACTTGCCTCGTGGGGGAGAGCGGGGAACAGGTGCTGGCACTGTCAGCTTGTTAACACTGGGTAGAGAAGTGGCTCCTTCGGCAGAGTGCTGCACATATGCAACACATTGCCTTTGGCTGTGGGGCGTACATTATGTGCAGGCATGCGTACATGTGAAAAGGCGGTGAGCGTATGTGCATTGCACACAGTCATGCTTCTGGGCTTCTGGGTGGATTTATTTGATTTGTCTTCCCGGGGATTATTCAGGTAAAAAAAAATGCACAGTAGCCTCAACTTTCTGTGTAAATGTGTGTCTCGATCATAGGTGTTGTGTAGCGTGTTGCTGCAGAGAGAAATTGAAATACAAACAAAACACAGCCACTTATTTGTTGTCCAATAGTAATTTATAGGTTTTGGCATACATTTTGTTTTGGGAACATTGTTAGAGGGTTATTATGTAGCTCAGTTTTCTACAAAAGCTTTGGGAGCCATAGTTATATGAAACCCCCCTTGGGTTATGTGCAAAAAATTCTCTCAAACATCACAAATTAGGCCCCTAGATGACCCATTTCTAGAAGAACTAAATTGACACAATGAATTATTCCATCCAGTCTTGTGGCCTCTATAACAAGTCGGGGAGGTAGAACAGAGGATAAATTAGGACACTCAATTCTTGCTTCTCCCATTTATTCCATCAAAGCCATTTAGACAGATTTGCCCCATTTGCCCAATTTATTCTGTGATTTTTATGCCCTCTCGTTTGGAGGATGGGAAAGAAAGAAGAAATGGATATGATTTTGGAGAAATTGGTACTTTGTAGATAAAAAAGACAGACATAATGTGTTGGAATTAATTTAATTCTGACGAAGTTGTAAGGAATTTGACATACTGTTTTCCTTTTTGTAAGGACACTCGTGGCACTCTGCCCCAAATACATCACTAAAAGCTTTCAGCTATAAAGCCAAAGGAAAGAGTTAGAATATAGTTTAGAGTAAAATTATGGTTCGGCGGAGAAAGAAACGGTAAAAGATGGAGAATATGGGAGAAGGTTCAGTGAGGCAGAGGTGTAACCTATTTAAATGTGCAACATGAACTTACTTTTGTAAAAGAAACAAAGTACAGTGAGTACACACGTGTGTCTTGTTGCCGCTAAGCTTTGCATAGTGCTGTACATCAAACAGACCACAGCAAAACAAGATAGTCTCGAACAAATACTGCTTGAGCTCAGCTCCACTGCCAAATCCTCTAGGCCCATAGGGTATATGGTTACTGTCACCTGTGGGTTAAGGCCTCCTCTCTGGTTTGATGTCTGAATATTAGGTTATTTGATGCTGCTCTTTCAAGTCAGCCTGACAGGACAAGACAGCAAGCAGATTTCCCACAAGTACTTTAACTGCTCAGCAGAGAGACATCTTCAAAGCCCAGCTCCCCTTTGTGCCCTCTATGTTTTGTATCCAGCTGTAGGTGCATTTCATGTCAGTTTGGTGCCGTCTAGTGGAGTTTGTGTAGAATTGCAGGATTTATTCTGTTATTTTTTGTTTTTTTCTGTTGAAGTGACTGCTTTGGGTTTTTTTTTTCTTTTATCCACAGTGACAATGGTGTTGTTTCTGATTGGGATCTCTATTCCTGTGAATAATTCTTCTCATGAGAACCAAACTGCAGGTAACTGATGAAACAACTGAGCAATTATATTGTCTAAGAAATAAATGTTAAAGCCAGACTCTAGAAGGATACGATTTTTCTTTTCACATATAAAGGAAAACCAGATAAACTGACTTGAATTCAACGTTACTCGAACTTGTATATTTCGTACCTTATGATTTAATAAACAAACTTAAGACATATATGCTGATCTTTTCTGTTACCCTATATTTTACTCTATTTTATGCACCATTGTCATTTATGGCTTCAGTTACAATGTTTCAAAAAAATGTACAAAGTCATGCTGTAAAGAAGAGATTCACATTTCACATAATAATGCTCTTTCTTAAGTTAGATGGACTGAACATTTTCACGTCTGTCTGTCAAATCTTATATTAGCACCAGTTAGATTAGCACAAAATTGCACTGACTATTTCTAGACAGTGATTAGTGACTTCCAGTAAAAAATAGTCCAGGAAATGCCCTTAAAACCACTTTACAAATTAATTTGAATTAAATTTAAATAAAACAAGGAAAAAATAAATTGTCAATGAGTGCTCTTTAAAGGTTAAAAAAAAACTGATTTCAACCGAAGCTCTGCTTCATGTGCAAATAATGTATTTGCAGTATATTTCTTTAATATAGTCCAAGGTTGTCAAACACACAGTAAGCCCCGGGGGCTAGAATCAGCTGAGCAAAGACTCCAATCTGGCCAGCTGGATGGCTTTGGAAAATGTCAAGGCAAGCATAGATTTTGGACTTTTGACTGTCTTTTCATAAGTTTTATAACTTTTCCTACTCATGAAGATCTCCCCATTGACAAGTAGTTAAGTAATAGATTAATAATAGATAAAAAACAGAAGAGTTTCTGTTTTTCATTACTGTGGGTCAACAATAAAAAAAAATCCATAAGTCACTTTTAGTTTTGAAATTACAGGAGAGTCTGGACAATGAGCTACCAGAACTTTTAAAATGTTTACACTTATATTTTTTATTCTTGGTGACACATTTATTTCATTTACTACACCAACATTTATTTATCAAGTAGAAAAACTGAGATGTACTGTTGAAATTGCACTTTTTCTTGTATTAACAAATCTCAGTTATTTTAAATGTGTTGTTAAATGTCTTCACACTGACAGAAAGGGAAGTGGGCTACATGTGGCCCTTGACATTCCAGATATAGTAAATTCCATAATATGTGATATCTAGATTACAAGCTTGTTTTGTTGTAAACTAATATATGTTGTTCACTTTGTTTTTATCTAGGAAACTCCACCCATCAGGGTGTGCATGTGTTGCCTTCAACACTGGTTTTATCCCTTCTTCTTATCATCGTTGTCCTGCTGACAATCTACTGCTTGCGGTGAATAAATCTGTACATACACATTAACACTTTCTCACTCATTCCAGCTCCCTTTTCACGTGTATGTGCGCGAGCATGAGGGTGAATACATCAGGTTGGGGCATCGGGGTGGGGTGGTTTTTAAATAGGCGGTCAGCAGTGGCTTATGGATAAACAGCTGCTCTTCCACTAAGACAATAAACAAAGACGGCTAGGTCAAGTCACGCCAGAGACACTCATTCACTGACCAGCCAGCTGACAACAACATGAGGAGGAACAGCTTTGGTTCTATGAGATGGTTGATATTGGTTTTGGTATTTGTTGTTTACTTATGTGCTTAGTGGCACCATTGTAGAGATCAAGCTTAGCTCTTTTTTTTCTCTTTAATAGATGGTTGTGCTTTTCTTCACCTCTCACCCTGTCTTTACCGTAGGTTCAAAAACCACAGGAAAGCTCTGGTTACCTCAGTGGATAAAAAAATTCCAAACGGCTTCTTGGAGGAGCAAGGTACGTTGGTGCTGTACTCAATATAACCACTGCATGAAAATATAAAGCAACCTTTTTGCTTTTTAAGCCTTTTTTTTATTTGGTTTATAAATTCAGTCTCTTTATGGACAAGAAAGATTTCACGATCTGGAGTCCAAAGTAGCTGTGAAGGCTCTTACCCTGTAGGGAACCATATGAAGTTTCACTTCAAGTAAAAAAAGGACATAAATAAACAGAAAGGCCAAATTCTGAGTTAAGAGAGTTTTGTGCAGCAGGGGCATGTTTATGGCTTAAGAAATCATTTCTGTCGTGATATACCCCCTGAAGTAGGAAATCTTAATAGCTATCAGGCTTGTTTTTGCAGGTGCTGTAAGAGCTTGTAATGTTCTCTACAGGGAGACATTAGCAGTCTGACCACCATATATTCTTTTAACCACAGGAGAGCAGACAGTGGTCCTCCTCCCCAGATCTCCTTCACCATCCAAGAGGTACTTCCCTATCCCTTTGGACTCATTGGAGGAGGAGTACCGGATACGCTCTGCAGATGATGGCAAGCTCTTCAGAGAAGAGTTCAATGTAAGCATGCATTTATTTGGTGTGGATTGAGATCTTTGTTCTGCAACCATACAGCAAAAAGTGTACAAAAACAGTACTAAGATTATATGTTAGCAGCCTTTGTACCCGTGGCTTTATTTTTATCTCATGAGGATTGGATTCTCTCTTTATAGTCACTGCCGTGTTACTACCACCATGGGTCCTTTGAGGAGGCGAGCAGAGAGCACAACAGAGAGAAAAACAGATATCCAAATATTTTACCATGTGAGTGAGGATCTATATTCTGCAGTTGGAGACAGTATTTCTGCAAAAGCCCTCTGGCTTGCAGACTTATTGATAGCCAACATAAGGAAACGTGCTGTGGGCTGAAATGAAAATTAAGAACCACTTTTATTTACCTTTTTTCCCCTCTGCTCCACAGACGATCATTCAAGGGTGGTGTTAAGTCATCTCGATGGACACTTGTGCTCAGACTACATAAATGCATCTTACATAGATGTAAGTAGTAATTAGGTTAAGCTATAAAGTGAATAAAATTCCTCATCAAAATGTTCATTCACTACTGTTTGTTTTTTTCACACATAGGGTTATAAAGAAAAGAACAAATTCATTGCAGCTCAAGGTAAATGCACATTTTCTTTCATCTTACCCAAGTCTATAACCATTTTCACTTTGGTTTTACTACATCTCTTGATTCTGTTTCAGGTCCAAAACCTGAGACAGTGGCTGACTTCTGGCGGATGATTTGGGAACAGAAAACAACAACTATAGTAATGCTGACGAATTTAAAAGAAAGGAAGGAGGTATTCTCTCTCTGCACTGCATTATTCTAAAGAAATCTAAAATCCCTGTGCCTCCGATGCACGTTTAGTGAAAACCCTTTTAAGTTCTCAAGACCCAAAGTCATGGACATAATTTATTCGACCCCCTCTCTTAACTGAGAATCCATGCAAAGTGTCACCCAGCAGATTACTTAGCATCGCATTAAATTTAGCCTCAAAGGGATGATCAATTGAGCGCTCAACAGCAGGTTTGATGGGGCAGAATAGAGGCAATGGGGATCAATGATGAAATAATTGTTGATAAGATCCTAGGAGGCTTCATGATAATTAGTCTGAGAATGTATTTAATGAGTTGAAACGTCATTGTGAAGATCTTATTGACTGAAAGAGTAGCACAAAGTCGCTGTGAGTGCCTTTGAATTTGTAAAAGGCACACATCAAGTAGATAGTTTTATATGTGGCTATAGTATGTACAAAATAGATGCATGTATATAGCAACAATTGCAAGGACAAATGAGCTCCTATGCATTTTTAGTGGCATTCATTTTCCTTGCAGTACCACAAAAATAATTTGTATTGTTTTTCTCCATTACCAGGAAAAATGTTATCAGTACTGGCCAGAAAAAGGCTGCTGGATGTACGGGAACATCAGGGTGGCGTTAGAGGATGTCATTGTACTGGTGGACTACACCATTAGAAAATTCTGTGTTCAATATGTAAGTAAAATATGTGAATCTACACATACTACAAATGTACTGACCAACTACACGTGGTCTGCTCAGCCATGTAAACCATGGCATGAAGCACAGAGTGCACAGAGGTTTAGAAACTATTTGTTTTAAAGTCAGCACAGCGTTGGAGTCTTTTACACACTATGCACCTTAGCACTTGCCTTGTAGTAAAACTGTAGCACTTATACATGATAGCGAAATATCTAGGAGGGAAGAAATTGTACAAAGATTCATGACGAGGTGCTTGATTTTATACAGCCGTGGCTATGGGACTGAAAACACCTGAATTCACAAATTAAGAGGTGTGACCCAATACTTTTGTGCATATAGTGCATAAACACCTGCAAAAGTACTGAAAAACATCTTTGTGGTAATTCCTGCTAGAGTAGGTGTTTCCAGGAGTATATTTCACACACTGGTGTGCGTGTGTGATATGGTTTTGCAGCTGTTAAACACTGTACTGTAAGGAAAGGAAAAATAAACGTACATTGCTGCTTTTATTTAAACATCTACACATGGTTTAAAAGTAATACTGTAATTTTACGAGTTATTCTTAATATTCTTCTTAATTACTGTAATAATGTAACAACCTATGTGTGTAGTTGCTAGATTCTTATTAAATATTGAAGATGAAACTAAGCCGCGGTGAGATGGTGCAAAAATGGTCCCCATGGGGAAATTGGAGCATTTTAGCAAACGTTAATAGGATCCAAAATATAATAAATAAATGAAAAACCAGTATGGAAACATATTAGAGAATATCAAAGGCTACAGATAACAGACACAGCATAAATTATAAATATGTAGGTGTATTTAAAATACAGCGAGAACTGTATTAATATGCAGTGTTTGGCTCCGTCATTTTATCTTTCGAAATTCATACACATACAGTATTTGTATTTTTTCTTGTCTTTTTGACTGTCGAGTTGGATGCCAACTCAGTGTACTGCGAAGCCTTCAGACTCCAAAATTCACTTTGTTCCCTCTCCATCTGAAGCTAGACGAGCACAGATATCCTCTCTGACTCTAAAAACTGTGACTGCTGTAGCTCTTCAGTACAAGCTGACAGACTGGGTGCTTTAACATTCAGCTCTCAGAACACAAAGCAACCAAGTGTTCAAGAGAATGGAATTCTGATCTCTAGAGTATCGATGAGAAATGAAAGTGAGGCAAAGTGTTTAATAATTACATTCTACCCCAAAAAGCAAAATGACAAAAAAATCAATAAAACTGAAGTTCCTTTTCTAGTAGGTACCAGTTTGTGGTTGACTGGCTTTGTAAAAAATAAAAAGACAGATGACTTATTTGTGCCTTCAAAGCATTATTTATGCACCGATATGAACCTTGTGCGTCTTTGCTTCGCAGCAGGGCAGCGATGGTCCCAGAGCTCCCCGGCTGGTCACCCAGCTTCACTTTACCAGCTGGCCAGACTTCGGAGTGCCATTCTCACCCATCGGCATGCTGAAATTCCTCAAGAAGGTCAAAGCTGTCAATCCATCCTACGCTGGACCTATTGTTGTGCACTGCAGGTAAAATGTGCAGTAAAAAGGAAGCCAGAAGAAGGCATCTGAGCACAGTTATATAAATCCGGTGTGAGTTGATGCATTTCATTGTTAGGATGCAGGAAAGACTTTTTCAGTGCTCATAGTTATGAGTAAAGGTAACAAATTTAATAAAAACTACAGTTAAGCCCATTGTGGATGAATAAAAATCCTTGCATAGGGTGTGTATATGTTTCCTGACCAACCAGTGTTAAGCCCCACCAAAGAAATCTGCAGCCAACTGTAGCAACTGGTGCAACAGGTGCTCAGGGAGGTGGAACTGTTGTTCTTGAATGGGGCCCATTGAAAAGACCTCAACACCCCACCGTGGAATCCAAGCTCTGTGCTCCCAGAGGTGTCGTCTGCTGAAATGACCCCTGTAAATTTATTAGGGCTGTGCTTGGGCTTCAGAGGTGAAGTACTTCTACATATGGTTGTAGCTGTTCACAATTGACTTCTATGTTGAGAGAAATATAATAACTTGTGCCAAAAAAAAAAAGCGCTTAGAAAATGAAATGTTCAGGTGTTTGTGGTTCACTCCTGTGAAGGCTCTTGCACATGTAAATAGAATGTTACATTCAACGCTTCCCAACCACATTTTTCGGTGTTCTGTACACTTTGCTGTTTGTTACAGAGAAGACCTTGAGGCTTCTTGTTTGTGTTTCCACAGTGCCGGGGTTGGGCGGACTGGGACATTCATTGTCATTGACAGCATGATCGACATGATGCACATAGAACAGAGAGTGGATGTCTTTGGGTTTGTGAGCAGAATACGAGAACAGCGCTGTCAACTGATCCAGACAGATGTAAGTATTGACCCTCTCCGACCTGTTGTACCTTGGACTGACAGCTCAACTCGCTGCTCTGGTCGTGGCATAAACAAGCGAGGGCATAGGAAACAACAATGTCTGTGATGCAAAAATAGTGGGAAATAGTTTGGCAAACCAAAGCAACTACTTCTATAACTTCGTCTTCTCGTCTTCCTCTTTCTTAGATGCAGTACTCCTTTATCTACCAGGCTCTGCTGGAGTACTATCTGTATGGAGATACAGAGCTAGATGTGTGCTCTCTGGAGGGCCATCTGCAGAGGCTTCACAACACCAGGGCTCCCCACGACAGGCTGGGCCTGGAGGAGGAGTTCAGGGTATGAAGAAAGAAGCTCTCTCTTAAACATTTCAGACAGTAATGAATCGTGCCCATCACCCTGCGCCCTGCATGGGTATATTTTCATGGAAAACTTGCCCAGGGTGCAGCTCTTGGCAGTAGTAACATAAATAACAATGCTTTGGATCAACTAAACTTTATAAGGCACCACCATCTGCCTCATAGAATTTACTGTAGCTCTGTGAAAATTTCACATTTTTGCTACAAAGTATCTTCACAGTTCCCTACACACTCGAAGGAATTATTCCCCAATGCCTCTTCTTCACCTCTTCTTCGTCTCTACCTTAATGTTTTTTGTCCAGCTTCTTGGCTTTTACTTGTTACAAGTATGGAAATGTTCCAGCGTCATCTGTCTTTAAAAAAGACTCACCAGCTTTATTAGCATTGTACTTTTCTATATGTACTTTTTCATCATTTCCGTCTGTGCGTGTTTTCTCCCATCAGAAGCTGACCAACGTTCGCATAATGAAGGAGAACATGAGAACTGGGAACCTTCCTGCCAACATGAAGAAGAACCGTGTGCTTCAGATCATTCCGTGTAAGGACTCACTCATACTCGGAACAGTTTCATAATACATCACATCTAAGTAACATCAAAGTATCACGCTGCTGGTGATTTTATAGATGCCGTACACAGATATCTGGATAATCAGCTCATGTCTCTGTGATCAGTGACATTTAAATTGGGCTTCTATCTTTACTTTATGTTGCAGTTGGAGTAGGAAAAGTAAGCCTGGGTACAACTTTTTACGCTGAAAACAGATATAGACTGCAGCGCGTTTGGCCTTAATAACACAGCTAAAGTTTTAGCTCGGCTAGGATTTTTATTTTTTTTCGTCAGCCCTTTCAAAGTTTTATTTTATTAGGAATCACTTGTGAAAAGTTTCATTTTCCTTTTTTCTGTTTGCAGATGATTTCAACCGAGTAATACTCTCAGTGAAAAGAGGACAGGAGTTCACCGACTACATCAATGCCTCCTTTATTGATGTAAGCACTCCCTCACGACCTCCTGTATAGATTTCCCATAGAAGTATATATAAAGCTCATTGTTTCCTTTACAAACAATGCAAAATATTATGTTTGCTGCACTCTCAAGTGTTGTTTACCAGATGATCTGCCCTCCAGGGCTACAGGCAGAAGGACTATTTTATCGCAACCCAGGGCCCACTGTCTCACACAGTGGAGGACTTCTGGAGGATGGTGTGGGAGTGGAGGTGCCATTCAATCGTTATGCTCACCGAACTCAAAGAGAGGGAGCAGGTACAGTATGGTGTTCTTGCAAAAGTACAGGTTGAAAAGCAGAGTTGAACATTTAAACCATGTTTTATTATTCAATTTTCCCTATTTATTTTCCATACAGTTTGCATAATTGTCAATGTGTGTTGTGGTTTTGTCTTTATTAATTTTCATGTTACAATAACCAAACACTATATAAACCAGTTAACTGTAGCCTGTTTGCGTTTCCATTTGAACTCTTCAACCAGGAAAAGTGTTACCGGTATTGGCCATCAGAGGGCAGTGTAACATTTGGAGATTATACGGTGGAGCTGACTGGAGATACACAGTGTGAAACCTTCACTCTCAAAGACATGGTTCTCACCTACAGACCAGTGCGTAATGTTTAATTAAAACACTTAACAATATTAAAATTGACATTTCACTTGAACAAATTTCCCAACCTGTTTTCTTTGTGCTGTTATCATCAAAGCAAATTAAAGTTCATGTCATTTCATTCCATTTACATTTTTTAATTAGATGAAAATAACAATCAGATTTGCCCAACACCAGGAAAAGCAGTCACAACATGTCCGACACTTCCACTTCCACGGATGGCCTGAGATCGGAATACCAGCCGAGGGAAGAGGGATGATTGACATTATTGCCGCTGTGCAGAGGCAGCAGCAGCAGTCTGGAAACCGTCCCATAATTGTGCACTGCAGGTGAGGAACTTCAATTTGAGAATTCTGCAGCGTGGTGCACATCATCAGATGGAAATTATATACACTATATTACACTTTGTGGCTGTCCACTCATGCTTTTTAATATAACCCGTTTCATTTTCCCTACTTTTTGCTCCTACAAATGTCTGTTACAATAAATTGTACATTTTTCCTCTCCTCGGTAGGCTTGGTGTTCTATGCCTAAACCACTTATGTGATCCCTTATAAAGACTTAGCTGTGAAAGCTTTGATCAGAACCTAGCTTCAGGTGAAGTGATTCTAAAGCAGCATGCCCCTGTGGGATTGATCCAATCCACTGATTCACAGTCAATTAAAACCTCTCAAAGTGAAATCTCCTCTGACTCCCACTATGATTAATCTGATAAGATGAGCTAACGACAGGAAATGGTGTCATCACTCTCTTCTATTCCTTCATCACCACTTGTCTAAGAGGGGCTTTTTAAAGCTTTTTCTCTGTCTCTTGGGAATGGGGCTAACCCGCTGCAATCCCTAACGTCTCTCTACACTTCTCTTCCAAATCGCACATCGCTCTCTCGCTCACTCCTTGTCTCTCTCTGTCTTTCTCCCTCCATCCCACCATCATTGTAAACATTGACTCAGTCAAACACTGAGCTTCTAGACTGATTAGTGTTAGCGTTTGGATTAGCCTCTCTTTAAGTGGGGATAATTATTAGCACCATTACACAGAGGTCACCTTTTTCTCCCGCTAACTTTTTTTAGTTAGATGGAAAAAGGATGTGGTGAGATTACAAGAGTTTCATTGCAGTTTTACTCTTAAAAAATGGTTCCTTTTCTTGTTGTTCATCTTCTGCGGTGTGTTTCATAATTATCTGTAAAGTTTTAATGTTCACATTTTATGATGAGATTTCTTTTATTTTTGTCCTAATGACTTCAGTGCCGGTGCAGGACGGACGGGCACCTTCATTGCCCTCAGTAACATTCTGGAAAGAGTGAAAGCTGAAGGCCTCCTGGACGTTTTTCAGACAGTCAAGAGTTTACGCATGCAGAGACCACACATGGTTCAGACCGTGGTAGGTAAAACTACATAACATCAAACCTGCTGTGCATAAACATGTTTGGAATCATTTCTGCACGGTGACACTTTTTCTTTCGCTTTTCTCTGCAGGAGCAATACGACTTCTGCTACAGAGTGGTCCAGGATTTTGTTGACATTTTCTCAGACTACGCCAATTTCAAATAGTGTAATAATGCTCTGTATGCTGTGTGTCAAATTAACATATGCAATTTTTTCTGAATGTTGTTTTCTAAAGCAAGCAATTGTAGTATTTTGCACATGAGTACAGATTTAAACTAAATGGTGTAATATACTTTAATATAACTGAAAACATGTGGTCTACAAAAAAGTCTGTCTCTTATGAGAATGTTTGATCTTCAAGTACCCCACTGTAAAATGTAGTAATTCAAATTTTACTTAATGGCTTGGATAAATTGTAAAAAAAGAAAATTATAATGCAAATATACAACATTTTAGAATTGTTAAAGCAAGTATTAACTGAATTCAACATTATCAACATTATATATTGTGTATATATATATATATATATATATATATATCAGAAAAGGTGCTTATTTATATATATATTATTATATATATATATATATACACATATATGTATGTGTGTTGTGTGGTGTGTGTGTGTGTGTGTGTGTATGTATGTATATTTTCTTACCTACAAAAATACCCAGTGCATTGTACAGTGCAACAGTTTTCATTTTAGTTACTGAGCACAATGCCTTGAGTTTACATTGTACTTTATGTCGCACACTTAACATGTTTAATTGGTGTGAAGAGCAAAAAAGTGTGTTTCACAAATACAGTAGGATGCAATTAATAATGTTTTTTCTAAAATAACATTGACCAGTATGTGTAACTAGTATTTATGATCTACTTTTATTTCAAAGTAAAACATAAAATTTCAGACAAAATTCAATCTGTTAGACGCTGCAAATTACCTCACTTCTGTCTGGGAATAACTTAACAGCTGCTGCCTGCTGCAATATTATTCAACTTCACCAACTTTCTTTTTGCCTATGGCAATATTACTTAGTGGATTCGTGCCTGACTCTGCAAAATGTAATTAGCCCACATTGGAACAGGCAGAAAATATTGTATTATTACATGAATTCAAATGTATCATTGCAGTCACATTTTACTTAAAAAAAACATTTTTATACACCTTTTTGCATGTTTGCATAAAGCAGTGCCATACTGATTAGAAGTTCTAGTCGTGAAAGACTTGTCACCAAGTGACACAATTTTAATAAAGATAAGACAGATGTATACTGTATGTTTAATTTAGATATTATATATACATTTTTTAAAAAGCATTGTTTTTCAATGGTGGTCTCATGTATGGATCACCAGCTAACTGTTTGTAGAGACACTTCTCAGAATCTAAATTATATATGTAAGTGTGTAAGAAAAGAGAGGAAAAACACAGTAGAAACAGCTGATAATTGATGCAGCTAAACCTTTTTCATTCACAGGAAGCAAGACGCGAGAAGAAAGCATTGATCTCAAATAACAATGCTCGGGCAAAATATGAATCATGCACACGCTGGCGTTTTTTGACTGTAATAGCTACAGTTGTCTTGGTTTCATATTTAAATGGCAAAAACAAAGCATATATTTTTGCAAGGCTTCTACTTAATTATTTTTCAACAGTATGCTCGGAGTTTTGGTGAAGAGCTTTCTACTGTGTTTGTACTTTCATTATTGTAACTTTGTAAGATTGGTTCATTCATGACACACTGATCATTTTCTTCAGTTAATTTAGTCTGTACATAAATACTAGTGGCCATTGATCATCACTAAGGTTTACTGCAATGTGGACTTTAATCTTTTGTCATGCAGAAGGAATATTATGAAGTAAGGGTATTGACAGTGAGACCTTGCTGCAGATGTTAGAAATGCACAAGCATCTTGTTTCAGTGATGTTTCTGCCTTTTCCATCTGTATGGATTTGAACATTGTTTTCTGAAAGCTGAATCCAATAAATAATTGATGGTAAGGAACATCGGAGTTCATTTTAATGTTGTCTTTTTGTCTGCCTCTTTACTGCAAGCGCAGTGATGTTTGTTGTTATATTTTTAATGCTGTGTGAACTGTCACGGTGATGTCAGCATATCTGAGCACTTAGCCAACTCCATTAGTAGTATTTTGTCCCATTAGTCAGTGAATGTGTCACACCTGCAGATGGGGATTATAATCCTGACAGCAGCCTTGTACAACACCTATAAAATCCCCCCACTGCCTAATGCGACACATGCTAACAAGGCAAATACAGAGGTGAGTCAGTAGTCACTTAAATTTGTTCAATGTTCATTAAGTTAAAAGTACTCCTCTCCTTAATTACTATCTAAAATGTTTACTAGTGTCTGGTGATGCTTTACAGTCCCTGCTCTGTAAGCCAAGGAGCTGTGAGTAAGGATACTGTGGCATTATTGTTTCTTTTTGGGGTTTTTTACTACAATTTTGGCTTCCCCTGCAGTTCTAATGGAAGCAGGCAGCAGAGTTATAATGCAGGTGTTGTTGCTGGCGTTGGTGGTTCAGGTCACCCTGTCCCAGCACTGGTCCTATGGATGGCTACCAGGTGGAAAGAGAAGTGTGGGAGAGCTTGAGGCAACCATTAGGGTGAGTAATTATTATATGTGGAACTGAATGAAATGTTAAATAAGGGCAAAATGTAACAGGAACGACTAAAACACTTCAAACCTGCTGTTAATGGGATCAGATGGGAACATCTTCTAAATTCTCTTTTACTCTACATAGATGATGGGCACAGGAGGGGTGGTGTCTCTTCCCGATGAGGCAAATGCCCAAATCCAAGAGAGACTTAGACCATACAATATAGTAAGTGCCTATTATGCATAATTTATCACCAATGTCTAGTTCAATTGTACAATATTAATGTACACTACACCACTGTGTGCCAGTGTGTTCCAAAGCGGCAATGACAATATACAAACTGCTCAGTGACTGTTTTTATTTTTCCCTCTTCGCATGAAAGAATATGGGTGTGACTCCTTTTAGTTTTGGGAGTGGTGATAGATGTACTGCAAATTTTTCTCTCTTGTTTGGTATCTACTGAGCCTACATATCAATTCAAATTGAAATATTTTTAGATTAAATATTTAAAGAAGCAGCTCGAATGACTGATTAAAATGTTTAATTTTAATCTCTTCAGATTAATGATGATTCCAGTCACTTTGACCGAAAAAAAAGGTTCCCTAATAATTGAAGAGCTACATCATTATCAGCAGCACATGGGAAAGATCGCCCGGCAACAAGATGGTGACTTCAGCAAATCATTTGTTACGCAGATGTTAATTATTTGTTATCGGTGGTTAAAGCCTTGTAAAACTGTAATAAACTTTAAAATCCAGATTAGCTAATTGTGTATTGCTCAGTGTGTTTTTTATAGATCTTGTTGATCTTGTTATTGGAGATTAAACGATATAAAATGCTCTTTTAAAGTCTTTAAACAGATTCAGCCGCCTTTGTAAAGCAGACACGACCGACAAGCATGACAAACTTGTGACACAACAATCTTAGCATGACAACAGCTGGTGATTAAGCCAATTTATTAGAAATCAATGACTTAATTGAATTTGTTACAGTTTTGGTAATTCCATTTTCTGCCACACCAGTCACTTGCATATGCAATATGGAAAATCTCACCAGCTGATTTTCCTGCTCACACTTGAATATTGATTAGACACCTACCTAAATATTTTCTGCTTTTAATGTCCGCAACTGCTTTCTGCTAATTTAGGATAACTCCCGTCATCCAAAACAGACCAAGAGTAGAACTTTATTTCCCCCCTCTCTGTACAGGAAATTGGTGTTCATTAAAAAAAATTGGAATTTCATATCAGGAAAGGAAAAGAATCAGCAGGGGGCATATGTTTTAAAGAGAACTCATTTTCTGGCAAAGCCCCACAGACAGAGCACCATACTAATCGCCTGGTGCATAAGGGGCTAGGATTCATGAACTGTGCTGACACCGGGGAGGCCCGGCATTGTTAGAGCGTGGTTGTAATGCACACCAATGAACCCAAACCCGCTGGCACAATTGGGAAAAGGTGAACATTATAAAAGCACATAGAATTAAAGCGAAATTAAACCACATTCCATTGCACTTCCAGAACAATGCTTGTTCATTTGTGATACTTCACGTCATTGGTTTAATATTCATGGTTGTACTTTGCATAGCACAATCATTTCCTTTGATGAGGAAAGACTTAAGTATTTTTGAAAAGTGTTATATTATACTTTAGCTCCGTTGACAAAGTTACAGGGGAAACTATTATCCTGGGTATTTTCTTCTGAAAGTCACGATGAGACTTCCTTGAATTGATTTACTTGAGTTTATGCTTCGTGGCGTTTTCAGTAATTTTGCAACATCTTCATAAAAGATAATCGTGCTTTTATAACACATCCTAAAATACAGTTTTTATTCAATTTGGTACACTTTTGTGGGGATAATTAATGTTCACAGATAAAACATAAAATCCCATAAATTCCCTTTAAATAATCCCAAAGCATTTGCAGTGAAAGCCAACTTTCTCCCTCCCAGTGTCCTCATCAAGGACCTGCCTAATTGCACGTATATCAGGACAACAAAACCTGCTGGTATCTATGTTTCCAAATTTGATTTAACCTCACTTTCTCCTTCCCAGACCCCCTGGTGGATATTCACTTTGTTTACCTCAAATTAAACTTCATATTGTTTACAGCCTCCTGGTCCCTGAACATTTTATAGCATTTTAGAATTATTTCTTTATTTATTTTTTGTAATGATTGTAGAGTTGGGATTCATTTGAATGTTTCCCTCATCTGCATGAAAATTATATAATTAACTTTTGATTAACCAGCTCAGTTGAGTTGGTTCCCCCATGCACACTGGTGAATAGTACCCACCGCATTTTAATGACTGTTTTCCAATTGAGTGGCGACCTTTTCATCAAAGAGCCACAACTGGGGCTAAACAACGGATAGAAAATAATCACGGTGAAGACAATAGTAGAGGCCGACAGGCTAGGATGTCATCCTTAAATATAACAACAAAGATAAAAGCAGCTTTACCGCATGTAGGCTGCGGTGAGAGAAGCCAAGTGCTTATGCTGCTGGATGCCCCATTGTTAAAGCAGTGGAGGTCACGTCCATTGGCATAGAGAGGGAAAGCACAGGAAGCTGAGAATGGCCCATTGTTACATGTCCTTGCTCTGAGGGAATTCCATTATGAAGGGCAATACATTTTTGATACTTTGATTTTTGTGCCATTCATTTGTTTGAAAAACAGAACATATTTGGATAATGGCTTCAGGAAAAAGGGGGTCTCAGAGCACCTCCATCCAAGGCTACGGCGCAGCATTAACACACCTGCCAATCAAGCACATCCGAGCAGATGTGCATCCTTGCGCTGCCTACCATCAAATAAGCATTCTATCATATGCATAATATAGTTTTCATTTCATCACTATTATGCCCCTTGCACCGTGTGTGTTTCT